CATTTCAACTTCTCGTAATTATTCTACTGTAACAAATAAAAATTTAAGGATAGGCTTAGGAGACAGGATGTTCTACTAAGAAGAATATAGGCTTTGGGGTTATAAACTTTATTTTCTTGCAGCAAAAATAAAAGACCATGTATTTAGACTTGCTGTTGTCTTTGAAAAGGGACACTTTCTGCTATCTTGGGATGTCACCTGGTGCATAAAGCTTCAATTTGTACCTGAACTAAGTCAAGACACACTTGTCTTTGGAATGCATAATCATTTCTTATTCACAAAGAACTTCCACCTTTGTTCCATTTTCAAGTGGTTGCTTTATAATATCAAAAAATATTAATGATTTGGCCTAAACCCAAAGCACAGAGCCCTGAATTTGCCCCTTCCCTCCCTCCAGCCCAGGGAGCATCCACAGCAGGCACAGTGACAGAAGAGAGACCATTTTCAGAATGCATTCACCTGTCTCTGGAGGGCCTTATGAGAACTTCAATTTTCTTTCTCTGTCATTTCTTCCTTTGACAGCTGCCTTGTCCTCTACAATGACCTGCCAATGTCAGGCTCACACTGGGAGGATTTAAACCATTGAAAGTAACTTTGGAGCTCCTGACACATGAGCATGTGGGTACTGAAGCTGCTTTGATGACCCAAGTCTGCAGAGTGGAATGTTAGGGGGTAAACTGAGTCCCAGATGCCTATATGGGTACTGAGCAGCAGTATCCCCGTTCAGTCTTCGCCAGGAGTGTGTCTATCTGTTCTATCTTGTTATGGGGTTTCACTTCAGTCAGCTGAAACCCAACACATCCAGATCTCTGCTGGCCTGTTTCTCCAGGGTGGATACTGTTTCTGCAATGGCCATTGTCTCCCCAGTGTCTGCCTTCTACCCCCAAAGATTGGTCCTTGAGCCAACCCAGATAAACCCCCTGGATTTCACAGTTGCCTGATTCTGGGAACCATTGCTTTCTCAATACCTTTGAGACTCCCCAAAGTGGATCCCTTTCTGGATTAAACCCCTGGACTTGGAATTAAGGCTCTCTACCCTGCCTGACAGAAGTTTATATGATCTGACCGCAGCTTCTGCATGCACCTTTGTGCCCTATGCTCTCAGCACCCCTCCTAGACCTAAGGCCTTCTTCTTAATTCCACTGGGGCCTGTTAAACATAGTCCCACTTTTGGTTCTTTGCACTAGGAGGGCCCTCTGCCCAATGTGCTTGTGCTCTTGCTCCTTAAATGATCTTTGCTTCTTATCATTCAGATCTCAGGCAATGTCTTGGTTCATTCAGACTGCTATAACAAAGATACCATAAACAACAGGAATTTATTTCTTATGGTTTGGGAGGCTGGCAAGTCAAGATCAAAGAACCAGCAGATTCAGTGTCTGGTGAAGACCCTCTTCCTGGTTCATGGATGGCCATATTCTCACAGTACATGGTGGAAAGGACAAGAGAGCTCTCTGAGGTGTCTTTCATAAGGACACTAATACCATTTGTGAGGGTTCCACCATAATGACCTAGTTGCCTCCCAAACGACCCATACTCTAATACCCTCACATTGGAGTATTAGTATTTCAACATGAATTTTGGAGAGACACACTGTCTTTTATGTCCTTTTTCAGAAGAACTTTCTCTGATGACTCCAGTGGCTTTCACATTACTCTTTTTCAAATCTATACCTAGCATTTACCACTAACAGACATGCTTCTTTTATTTTAATAACTGTGTATCTTTTTGTCTCTTGCCTGTAAACTCCTTTATGCACTAGCACTCTAATTTAAGCATCACAAGAGCAGGATCTGACCTGTTTTAGTTTCTGTTACATCTCAGCAACCAAGACACCTCTTGACATATAGGAGGTGCTCAATAGAAGCTTATTAAAGCTTATTATTAACTCTATCCTGGACAGGATGAAGAACAGAGAACCTCACCCTGCTAAGTCACCTTGACTCATTTCCTCTTCTTTACTAGGCATTCCTAACATCTATAGGTTCAGGCAAAATTAGTGTCCTGCAAGAACTCCTTGGCTTGTATTTTATAAACTAAAATTCAAGTCTATCAATAAAATAATGAGACATGTCCTATACTCTCATTGAAAAGCTCATTTTTTCAACATATTTTTTGAAAATTTCTATCCTTTTAAAGTTGGTTTATCCTTAATAAAACAAAAATCACACCCCAGTCTCTCTCTCTCTCTCTTCAACCAGTCCCCTTTTTTCCTTGGCCAAACCTGAAGATCCTTATGAAGGTCAATGTTGGAGCACAGATGCTGGGGAGAGGTACTGATGGACCAGGCTGGGGCAAGGAGCAACTTAGTGCAACCTGCCTACCTTTAGGTGGATTTAATTGTGTATCACAGTCAGTGTGCAAAATAGCAAGGGACTGAGAAGGATCCAGTGGTGGCAGTGTTGAGTGATAACTGAGGTCAATCTGAAAGAAACTCTGAGGCACAATTTGAACTCACGTGGTTTTTCTGAGAACAGCTTGAGCACAGGCTGGAAAGCCAGCCTCTCAGGTTACCATTGGGAACGGAACAGTTCAAAATAAAGCAATCTCAGGAAAGTCTTGACTTGCATAACATAGTTGGGCACATGGCTGCTATTCCAACCACACCCCCAACACATGTGTGTGCACACATGTACACACATACACAGAAAGTAGAGGCTGCCAAAGGCCAGACACTGCAATGGAGGATGGAATGTCTTATAAATGGTTTAGAGAATATGTCAGTGGAACTGGAAATGAAATCCACCATGTGGTATGTATAGAAATTCAGATTCCTAATAATCACATGAATTTTCATTTCATAGTACATTTTCTCCACATTGTTTTGTTTGATATGAAAATCTCCTATAGGAGGCAAAGCAAGTAATACCCATGCAGTTAAGAATATTGAAACTCTTATTTTTGAATCAAAAAATTTACCACAATGTCAAACAAACGGTCATATTCTCTTGTAAGTTCTTAGTTGTATCTAAGAAACCACATTCATTTAAGTTTTAACTTTGAATAACTTATATTAGCCTAAAGATCTTTCCATAACACCATACCAGGATTTTTAAAAAGTCAATATAGTATGTAGGTCTATCTTACTTCCAATGAACTGAGTAGGTGAGATTTCCTATTTCCAAAAAAGAGAGAAAATTGGAATGGATGGTAATTATCCACTTTATAAAAGGAAACTGAATTTATCAAAAGAATATTGACTCATTTAAATAACAAATTCCTTTAGAATATTATTCAATCACTTCCTTGAGGTATATACACTGGTACATTTTAGATTATCAAATTTATTGTATAAATTAAATAGGGAAGTCTAGAATATATATACTCAGTCAACCAAGACTCACCAACTGTTCATTCATTTGTTCTTATAAATCAGCAAGAAAAACAAAATAAAAAAGGGAAAAATGTATTACCAGCTGAGTCATAGAACAGGAAGCGCAGAAGTCTGACAAACACTGGCTGTTGAAGGAATGCCCGTGCTCTCCTTGCCATTGGTGCCTTCTTCCTGGACATGTGGCAGTCCAGCCTGGGGCTGTATTTCTTAGCCTTCCCCAGGGAAGTGCTTATGCTTCCATGGGGCAAAGTTCTTGCCAGTAAGCAAAAAAGATGTATACAACTTCTACTGTATTTTCTACAAGAAAATTTCTTTCCCTGAATTTCTCTTTTTATAATTTTTAAAAAATTTATCTGATACATAAAAACATAAAAATTAAGCATATTAGTGGGCCATCAAGTTATGTTTTGATACATGTATTCCTTGTGTAATGTTTAAATTGGACTAAATATATTATCTTCTCAAACATCTGCCTTTTTTTTCCAGTACTGGGGTTTGAACTCAGGGCCTCCACCTTGGACCACCCACTTCACTTCACTTTTTTGTGAAGGTTTTTTCAAGATAGAGAGTCTCATGGAACTCTTTGCCCTGGCTGGCTTCGAACTGTGATCCTCCTGATCTCTGCCTCTTGAGCAGCTAGGATTATAGGCATGAACCACTGGCACCCAGCCTGCCATTTCTTTATGATAAAAACTTTCAAAATTCTTTCTTCTCACTTTTTGAAATATATGTACACTATTGTTGTTTCTAGTCATCCTACTGTACATTAGCACACCAGAGCTTCTTGCTCCTGTTACTTAGTACAACCTACTCATTGATCAACCTTTCTCCATCCATCACTCCCCTACACCCCATTCTCCCCAGCTTCTGGTAACCCCCAATCTACTTTCAGTTTCTCTGATATAGAGCTTTTTAGATTCCCATGAGTGAGATCATGCAGTACTTGTCTTTCTGTACCTGACTTACTTTATACAATACAATGATCTCCAGTTCCTTCATGTTGCCACAATGAAGGAGTTCATTCCTCTTTATGACTGATTAGTAGTCCATGTATGTAGGTACCACAATTTCTTTATCCACTCCTCAGTCGATGGACACTTAAGTAGTTTCCATTTCTTGTCTATTAATAGTGCTTCAGTGAACATGGGAGTTCATCAACATGCTAATTTCATTTCCTTTGGATATATATATATATGGATATGTGTGTGTGTGCGTGTGTGTGTGCATGTATGGGATCGCTAGATCATATGGTAGTTCTATTTCTAACTTTTTGAGGAATGTCCATATTTTTTTTCCATAATGGCTATACTAATTCACATTTCCATCTGTAGAGTACAAGGGATCCCTTTTCTCCACATCCTCACCAGCATTTGTTATCTTTAGTCTTTTTGATTGTAGTCATTCTTACTGGGGCAAGATGATATCTCATGGTAGTTTTAATTTTCATCTCTCTGATGGTTTCTGACATTTGGCATTTTTTCATGTACCTGTTGGCCCTTCTTTTGAAAAATGTCTAGTTAGATCTAGTGCTCACTTTTAAATTGGATCTTTTTTTGCTATTGAGTTTTTGAATATAAGATTTAAAATACCCAAAGCACAACTATGTGTTTTTTGTTGGTTATATATACTCTAGCAAAAGTACAAAAACATGATCTGGAAGAATACATACCAGATTCTTGATAGTGGTTGTTTCTTTGGAAGGAAAGTAAGGAAATGGATCTGTGGAGAGAAACAAAAAGGACTTCAACACTTTTCATGTTTTATTTCTTTAATGAATAAACATGCAAAAGGCTAAACTGTTAATATTTGTTAATTAGGGGCCCTGAGTAAATCAGAAATATGCTAGAGATGGATTGGACAGGAAAGAACTGATTATATACATATATTTCCCAACTCCTCATTCAATAGTTTCATTATGGTGCTTGAAATTCATCACGGTGGAAGTATTTACACCACAGAAAAAGGCAAGTGTTACAAATCAGGACTTCATTTTCCTCTGGAGACTTAGTTGTTAACACTGATCAACACACCAAGATAAGCTTAAAAATGTAAAAAAAAATTAATATTCTATTTTTTAGGATTATATATTTGCATAAAGCATCTTTCATGTATGCAGTGGTGATGAAAATAATTAAAGCATCTTTTGAAAAGTTCTAACCAAAGGCCAGATTTTATTTGGCTTTTGGGAAAACTTGGCCATTTATATTGGGAGACAATTTTGGATTTCTTATTTATCACATAATTTCAACAACATAGTCTTTAAATCATATGTGATGGCTCCTGTGTGACAGAGGTGTCCTGCATTCTCTCAAAGAAGGTCACACTTTCATAACTACCAGAATGCCTGTGTTTGCCAGTTGTTGGGTTCAAGTTTGCTTTCTATCTGTGTCAAAATAAGTCAATGATCATGACATAGGCTTGAGACTCCACACGAGTCTGCATCCCATGACCTAAGTCTATGGTGGCAATTTGCTGAACCCCAAATTAGGACATGTGGCCTTACAAGTATGGGAGGACTATGGGGCATGTGGCTGCATGGGACACTATGGGACAGAATGCTTGACTGGCGTTCTCCCATTAAGATTTGGGGCTTTCCATCCTTTTTAACCTTTAACAAAGGTGACTGATTTCTTCTTAAGCATAAGAGTGCTCTGAGATCTGTAATCATTAGAATGATTGTTTTTAAATGACTTTTGTTATTAAAATGCAATACATACTAATTGAAGAAAATACACATATGAGAAAAAGGAAAGAAAGTCATCATCTACTCATAATTTCATAATCCAAAGATAACCATTGTCAGGTTAGTAATGACTTTTAAGCTCTTTTGTGCCTATTTATATATTTGTTTCCAAAATAAAATTAAACTATGTGCACTGCTTTAACTGGTTCTTTCCATTTAAGACCATTACTTGCTTTTTTTGTATCATTAAATTTTCTTTAAATTTGTTATTTTTACCTCTTTATAGAAAGCATTACACAATACAATAGTCATTGAATCTGTTTCTCTCATCCTCCCACTTTTAAATATTTAGTTGTCTTCATTCATCCATAAAAAGTAGGATGATGTAAACATCCTAGAAAGTCTTTGCATACATCTCTGTTCCGTTCTTTGAAATGAGTTTTAATAAGTGTAATTCCTTACTGAAAATTAGTGAAGACTCTTCAAACTCTTTTTCCAATTATCTTTAATGGCACTTGGTTAATCATGTGCAAAACTATAGCTTGCATAAAATATGTTTCAAGTGTATTAAAGACTTAAATGTGAAAAAGAAAAACTTTGGAACTTTAGAATAAAATTTGAGGAAATATATTTTATGACATCTGCTTAGGGAAGAAAGAAAAATGCAATCAACAAAGGTAACAATAGATAATCTGAATATATTAAAATGTAAAACTTGTATAACAAAAAACTATAAAAGACAAACCAGATTAGAAGAAAATATCTGCAACTATATAACATAAGTGGGGCAGGATTTAGAAGGTAAGAAGTCTTATAAATAAATAAGAAGATAATACAACAGAAAATAGACCAGATGTGTTGGCTGACATCTGTAATCCCAGCTACTTGGGAGGTGGGATCAGGAGGATAGCAGTTTGAGGCTAGCCAAAGAAAAAGTTAGCAAGACCCCATTCTCAACCATAAGCTGGTTTTGGTGCTGTGCACCTGTCATTCTGGCTACATAGAGGGTCATGGTCTGATGTCAGCCATATGCAAAACTGCAAGACCCTATGTTAAAAATAACTAAAGCAAAAAGGGGCTAGGGGCAGGACTCAAGTGAAAGAGAACCTGCCTAGGAAGGTATGAATTCAAACCCCAGTACCGCCAAGACAAAGAGAGAGAGAGAAAGGGGGGATAGGGGAGAAAATAGGCAAAAAATATGAAAAGCAATTCACACAAAGAAAATTTGATGGCTATTAAACATATAATGCTCAAATTTATTAGAAATAAGTGAGCTATAAATCAGCAAACTGGTTTACATCCATCAAATTACAAAAATTAAGAAGTTTTACATCAAATTTAACTAGAATGTCTTCTCAGCAGCCCATGGAACTTTCTCTAAAATTGATCATATCTTAGGGCACAAAGCAAGCCTCAGCAAATATAAGAAAACAGAAATAAATCCCAGCATTCTATCTGATCACAGTGCATTAAAACCAGAACTCAACAACAAAAACAACAGCAGAAAATATGCAAACAATTGGAAGCTGAATAACACATGGCTCAATGATCAGTGGGTCATTGATGAAATAAAAGAGGAAATTAAAAAGTTCCTGGAAGTTAATGAAAATGAAAACACAACCTATCAGAACCTATGGGACACAGCAAAGGCAGTCCTAAAAGGAAAGTTATAGCAATGAGTGCATATATTAAAAGGACAGAAAGTTTTCAAATAAATGACCTAATCCTACTTCTCAAACTCCTAGAAAAACAAGAACAAGCAAAACCCAAATCAAGCAGAAGGAGAGGAAATAATAAAAATAAGGACAAAAATTAGTGAAATAGAGACCAACAATCCATACAAAGAATCAATGAGACAAAAAGCTGGTTTTTGAAAAAATAAACAAGATTGACAAACCCCTGGTAAACCTGACTAAAATGAGGGGAAAGACCCAAATCAGTAAAATCAGAAACAAACAATGGGAGATAACAACAAACACCAAGGAAATCCAGGGAATCATCAGACACTACTTTGAGAACCTATATTCCAATAAATTTGAAAATCTTGAAGAAATGGATGCATTTCTAGATACTTATGACCATCAAAAACTAAACCAAGAGGATACTAATCATCTAAACAGATCTATAACACAAAATGAAATTGAAGCAGCAATAGACAGTCTCCCAAAAAAGAAAAGTCCAGGACCTGATGGAATCTCTGCTGAATTCTATCAGACCTCTAAAGAAGAACTAATACCAACTCTCCTTAAACTTTTCCATGAACTAGAAAGGGAAGGAAAACTGCCTAACTCATTCTGTGAAGCCAGTATTGCACTCATCCCAAAAGCAGACAAAGACACCTCCAAAAAGGAGAACTATAGGACAATCTCCTTAATGAACATTGATGCAAAAATCCTCAATAAAATATTTTTGATTCAACAACATATCAGAAAGATAATTCACCATAACTAAGTCAGTTTCATCCCAGGGATGCAGGGGTGGTTCAACGTACACAAATCAATAAATATATTACAGCACATTAATAGAAGACAAAAACCATTTGATCATCTCAATAGATGCAGAAAAAGCTTTTGATAAGATTCAATACCAGGAGAATTCCAAGATGGCGGCTAGAGGTAGGAAGCAGAAAGCGACCCTCCTATAGTGAAATATTGGAGAGATGCTGGAGACACACTTTGCAGGCATAATCACCGAGAAAAGGCATAACTTTGACTCCTCCACATCTCCAGCCGGCGCAGAGAATCTCCACTTCACGTTAAACGGAGAACCGAGGAGGCCCCCGGGCCGCCAGTGGCCGGCGCCCATACGGCTTGGGAAGACGCGGACCAGGTGAGCTTCGCGGTACCGCGGTTCCCCCACAGACAAGCCTGGGCCAGAGCAGCATAGCCCCCTGGACAGACTGACCTCCACCCGGGAAAAAAAGAGAAACTGAGTACTAAGCAATAAGAACAGTTAAGACACGCTGGAAAGAGGGTGGGGCGCCTGAGCGCTGAAGATTGGGGGAAGGGAATCCTTCCCGGGACTGTAAATAAACGAGCCGGGGGGCCGGAGAGGCTCTGGCGGGAGCGGGGCGCACCAGCAACCAGGAGCGGGGACGCTTGTGAGAGGAGGGAAGACCCACTTCCCACGTGAACTGTAAATAAACACGCAGGCCTGACAACGCGGGGCAGTGTCGCCTTTCCAGTGCTTGGAAAGGGAAAAGCCTGTAGCAGAGGCCCCTCCCGCACAGGAGAACTCTGAGCAAACAAAGCCTGTGGGACCAGGTGAGTGCTAAGCTCACCCCAGAGATCTGCATAAATAACGCCGCCAGCTACAGGCTGAGAGCAGCAGGCAGGCAAGCCACAGTTGCAGATACCACTCTCAGAACTGCCTCCAGACGCTTTTTTTTCTTTTTCTCCCTACCTTTGATGAGAGAACAACCGAATTACACCTGCAAGCCGAAAAACTTACTGAAACTGTATTGCATTTGAACTGGGGACACTTGGTGGGGCTTTTTTTTTTTCTTCTGTGTGTGTGTGAGTGTAGTTTTGTTCTACTTTATGCATCCCCTTTGATGAGACAACTACAGAACAACATCTGAGGCACCAACTCCAGGACTGGAGATTGAGACGGACATCCAAATTATTAAGACTGAAATTGCATTGCATATAAACTTGGAAGTTTTTTGGTTTTTTTTTTTTTTTTTTTTTTAATTTTCTATTTTCCATTTTATTTTAATTCATTTTATAAATAGATATTACTTTCATATACTTATTTTTTTTTTTTTATCTTTGATTTTCAATCCTCTCTCTGTCACTCTATTGTCTGTTCAGCTTACTGTCGATTAGTACACTAACACTCCCTGTTTATACCTTTGAAACTCTCTTGTCTGATACCTTGTTCTGCTTTCTCCCTCTTGTCTGTATATTTGTTTTCCCCTTTTTTTAACTTCTTGCTTTCCATCTCAGCTCACTCTTCCATTCTCAATATTACCATTGTTATTATTACAAGCTAGAAAATACTTAATTACACACAGTACAGGGACAGTAACAACACC